CATTAGATTTTATCAATAGTTGTTGTAGACAGAAAATAGAACTACTCTGAGAACCATTGTGGCCACGAACTGCTGGTGTCTGACCAAGAGAAGTAATCATTAGATAGGTTTGTAAAGTGTAAGAGAAGTCAAACTGAATCTAAGTCGACTGATTCGTTAAACAATATTTTTTTTAATTTCCAAACGTACCATGACGCTGGATTCGGCAATCCACAGTGATGTCATGCGAAGGATAATATGATGATTTTCATGTGGTTATTGACATTTGTTTTTCGAAATAACCTTCGTAACATCAATAAAACTAGAAGTTTATCTAGTAGTTACTAACAAATTGCTTCCAGAATTATTTTTTTTCAATCATTTCAGTCTGCGAGCTTTACAGTAACCTCAAATAAATAACAAGCAGAAAAGTCTCGTTTAACTTCACTGGACACAGCATCTGAATACAACTCACGATAACTGAACTGTAAAAGTAAATAGTTTAGGAGGTCCCTCGGTCAGCGCTAAATTTACGGACTCACAACGCTAAGATCTGGGGTTCGATCCACCGCGGTGGACACAGCATATAGCCTAATGTGACTTTGTTCTAAAGCTAACAAACAATTCAAGGTCTGGTAAAAAAAACAAAACAAAAAACTTGAAATGTTACGAAAAGAACAAGAAGGTTACAATTCTACACATTATTATAAACTTATGGATCTATAAGAAATTAAATTCTTCAACATTCTTTCAAGTCTTTTAAGTAGCTAATCCCATGGTAATAACTGGTAAATTAATAACTGTTAATGGATAATTTCATGATGTCAGAAAAACACGTAGGTTCAATAAGTCTTGATACAAAACGAATAAAACCATATAACCCTAGCGCTTTCGAAAGGTAGACATTTCTTCTTCAGTGGCAAACTAGGGAATGCATAGTGTCATTGTCTTAGTTTCATCTATAAAGTTGTTTTATTGTTTCAACCTATTCTCGGTTGAGCTCTTGTTAATTGACCTCTGACCTTCATTTTGTAACCACTTTTGCTTGTGTGTATATATTATTCAGATATGTCAATACTCCATTACGCCTTGTAATAATATTTAATTTCTTTCAGATATGCCCAAAGCCTTGTTGAAACTTGCCAGAAACCCTATCTTCGTTTGTCACACTGCTAGTTTGACGCTACGAATAATAGGCTTCTCAGGTTACTTTGTCTTTATGCCTAAATATATGGAGAATCAGTTCCGTCAGTCAGCCTCTACAGCGAGTTTGTTCTCGGGTAAATCATTTTGTTGTTACGTGAGATTGTACTTTTTGATACTTATTCTAACTTCAATATCTTATTTATGTATTGCTTAATCTCATTTTTAAGTCTCAAAACTACATTTATATTTTGTTATATGTATTGTTGTTGTTATTTCCTTACGCAAATGTTGAATTCGAGTTACGTCCTAAATCAGGGCTTTAGACTTCAACTTCTATATGTAAATACTCCCCATCAAAAGTATTCGGTCACACCTTGAAGATACGAAATGACTCATCCAACATGCTTTACACGACGGGCGCTCTGCAATTGTGGACGCACAGACATATCAAATAGTAATATTAGCAGTGACGCAATGTATGCAAAATGCCAAAATATCGTGAATAAGGTGATTAAGAGAGGTTGTTGGAACTGTGAAAAATCAGTAAATAAAACAGTCATAACTGATAATCATATGTGACCTACTGAGGTATATCGTGAACTTGACCAGTATAACTTGTAGAAAATAACCAGGTAGTCCAAAATCACTATTGGAATGTGACAAACGTTCACTTATTGGGATTGCAAAAAGTTGCAGAAAGTCACCTTTGCAACAATTCAAAGTATGAGCATAAATGAGACTATTTTGAATGGACTTTTACCAAACATTATTCTCATGAAAGTTCGGCAGAGATTAGCCACAAATTCTGTATTTGAACAAAACGTATCGGTATTTATGACATTAATATCAAACCTTCTAGCCACACTTGTGCCCCCCCCCACTCTCACACATACACAAGACATGGAAAAAAAGCAGCTGCATCTCTGAAAAATCGGGGCAGTCTAAACCAGCCACCTCAAGTAGCAGTCACAAACATCAAATAATCTTTGCAGTGAATCTTAATTTCAAAACAATACTACGGAAAATAGAAACCCTAATACAAGGACTAAGCAGAACCATGCTATCATAAAATAATGTGGTAAGGAAAACGTTTTTTATCTACCAAATTAGGCTTACACACAAAGGAATTTCAAAGGAAATGAAGCAGACAGCTGTGTACAAAAGTTAAGAGTGAACAGAACTTTCTGACCTTCGACCTGCTTTATAGAAATCACCATTTGTTATAGAAGACTCGACTGAGTTTTTAATCATGTGTGTGTGTGTGTGTCATTCAATTATTTCACTTTTAAATTTCCTTTAGTTACAACCATAACACACAGTTTAAAAAAACACCAACATAACAAACCTGTTGAATTACAAGACAATCATGCTTGCCATAAAGAGCTTATAGTCCCAGTCTAAGTATAACCCTTGGGGGAAGATTTAATCGGAATTTGACTCCCTGCACTACGAAAATATAAACCCCCAACAAGACACAGTTCTAAGAACTTAGGAGTGACAGTAGAGAAGAAAAACAAACATAATTTCTGTGTCTTTAAAAGGACACAAAACCAATCTGTCAAATTATGTTTGCTGAGACACAAACCATTGATGCTTTGTAACTTCTATTCTTTATTCTGAAATAATACCGGTGGGGAGCAGTAACTTTACGGACTTACAATGTTAAAATCCACGGTTCGATTCTCGCTGTGGAGCAGATAACCCAATGTCGCTTTCAACAAAACAAACAAATAATAATAGTGATAATCAAAGTAAATTTAATAGTATCATGAAGTTCTCTCCGTCACTACCAGAGGGCCATGATTAGATGACCACAAATACTCTCTATAATCAGTTATTTATTCGCTTGTTCTTAAGCGCAAAGCTACACAATGGGCTACCTGTGGTCTTCCCACTGCAGGTATTGAAATCCAATTTTTAGCGTTATAAGCCCTGAGACTTACAGCTGAGTCAATGAAAGCGTGTCGTTGTTGGTTCCAGTGTCATTGTCTTAGTAAGTATAAGAATGTCAACTTTCAAATATAATTCAACTTCATTTCTTTCCGCAGTGATCGCTGCGGTAGTATCTTGACTTAAGAGCTCATATGTTAATAAATCTCACTAAATTAATTTTTCATATTTGACTCTTTGTTGTACACGGCAAGAATGATAAACAAGAAAAACATGGTTATGGTAATTATATTTTATTTATGGAAATATTACCAGGAGCAACAAGCATCTTGACAATGTTAGTGGGAATAATGTTGGGAGGAGCAGTGATTAGGAAATTCAAGCCCCGGCCTCGTTATTTGACCGGATATATGGTTGGTGTGGAATTCTTCAGCTTGGCTGGACTTTTTGCTTCTATGTTCATTGGCTGTCCCTCACTCGATATGGCGGGAACTACGTTGGTTGGAAATGAGTAAGTTTCCTTTTGATAAGAAGGTTTCGTATAAACTAATAAAGAACATGTTAATAACGTTTAAAATACGTTTAGTGCTGTATGTTAATTATTTGCAATTAGACCCAGAAGACATAACAAAACTTATAGTTAAAGTTCTTTGATATCACCAAAGTAATACGAGAGTCGTGACAAATAAAACTGTATTAGAGATCAACGTGTGAAAAGACTTTTTAAGTGATCGTCTAACTGCGCATGCGCAGTATATTTTAACCCAAATCTTTTCTACCACCTGGGATGAAAGTTTCTTGTACTGTTTTTCATGTCAAATCTAAGTAATAATCGCAACTTTCTTAAATAACTTTGAGAATCTGGCTCACATGCTCAATAACCTTATATGTTTTGTATTTTATAAATCTATTCCGCAATATTTTTATTTACGATATATGTACGATTTGTGAAAAGTGAATTCTCATATAGCAGCATGGTTTCAAAATAACTCTATAATACGTAAATATATATATATACGTAAAAACGTATAAACAATTTAATGAGATATGCTGTTATGAAGTGTATAATAATCATATTGTTTTATAAGCGTTTTATGTTGTGTTTTTTACATATCAACTGCTAACAAGTTAGTTAACTTCGTATGTTGAGTTGTTTTCGTTATCTACCACCAGGTTAAATCTGAACAACGAATGTAACAATGGATGTGGCTGTACTCAGCATGTCTTTGAACCTATCTGTGGACCAGACGGTCACTCTAATTATTTCTCTCCCTGTTTTGCTGGGTGTAAAGCATTAAATAACACAGATGAAAACCTGGTGAGAATTTATGTCAACTTATTCATTACACATGTGTGTGTGTGTATCACATTTATCTATTTAATTAACAAAGATAAAAACCTGGTAAGAATTTATGTCAACTTATTCATTACACATGTGTATATATCACATTTATTTGTTTAATTAACACAGATGAAAACCTGGTGAGAATTTATGTCATCTTATTCATCACACGTGTGAGTATCATAAATAAAATCCAGCTTACAAATCTGAATCAATAATCTTCCACCATCACATGTCAAGTAATTTACTTAAAATTTACACCGATAAAATTGATTGCTTTACACTGTCATTTTACGAACTCGTTTCATTGTTTGATGCTCTAGATAATTTTAAAAAAAAACGTATCATGGGAATAAAAGTTCGTTCATATTCAGTTTTTCATAAAATATTATTAGCGCCATCTTATCAACTTCCTTGCATACTCCTAGAATTACCGACAGGGTTTAAACCTATGCATTGTTTAAACACTTTAAAAAAGACTGTTGGTTACAGGGTTCTTTATAACGCATGGGTCACAAAAAAGACTTTGTTGGTTACTAGGTTTCTTATAACATATAGGTCACAAAGAAGACTTTGTTGGTTATGGTGTT